TAGGAAAGTCAATTTACGACCTATAAGTGCATGGACACTCCTGCGTACCCAAAATGGTTATGAAAGATGTCTACGACATTACTACTTGTCACCGTTGATTATAAATATTCCTACTTTGTCATTAATAACTTTAAACAATTAAACTTATTATTAAATGAAATTATATGGTTGTATTTATGGCAAAACAAACATTGCTAATATGTCATACTTATAAGTGTACATAAATATTTTTTTAAAAAGACGAGTGGTCAAAACTAAATTAAAAATCCCGCACATGCGCCCGCTAACACACGATCCAAAAGATGGAAAGCATGTCTAAGAAATTACTACTCCCTCTATCCTCCTTTACTTGTCACCATTGATTATTAATATTCCTACTGTGACAATTAATAACTTTAAACAATTAATTTATTGTTAAAGAAAATTGTATGGTTGTATTTATTGCAAAACAAACATTGCTAACACACGCTCAAGAGATGGAAACCAACGGCATATCACTTATATCATTAAAATCCTACTGAAATATCACCTGCATGTGTGTAATATTTGTGGGCATAGGATTTGAACCCTATTGGGTGGAGTCATACATCCACGACTCCACCACCACATCAATGGTGCTTCCTTCCGCAATACTAATTCAATGTGCATTTCTCATAGAAAAAATATTTTTGGATGTGAACAGTGTCAATGCTATTTATCACCACATTTGCTAATTTGTTACTATATACATCTACTCTGGATTTTAAAGTTTGCAAAGATGGTAGAAAACTATTACTCTCTCACCCAGATACAAAATAAGCTATTGCAAAGATGGAGTACAAAATAAGCTGTAAGATTTTAAAATAGCATTTCTCTCACCCAGATACTCTGTTTATTGAAGAAGCTTGTTTCCAATATATAAATCTCAAGCTATTTACTTAGACCAATTGCAAAAGAGTAACGAATATTCCAAACTTACTAAATCATGGCGGTCCCTATCTTCAGGAAAGTCTTGATTGGACACATGAAAAATGATGATTAATTAACTAAAAAAAACTTTTTGTGGATTCTGAAGTCTTTCTACTTGGGTTGTTAAGCTTAGTACCACGGAGTAACATATAATATAGTAGGGGTTTAAGTGCTGTTCTATCTAATTATTGCCACTCTGTTCAGACCGCTTTGTCCCTCCGCGGGTGCTGCTTGGTACAGGCGTACAGCGCTCATGACAAGTAGTACACTACTACTTACTTCCTCCGTTTCACAATATAAGTCATTCTAACATTTTCCATTTTATGATAATGTTAATGAATCTAAACTAGCTGGGTGGCCCGCGCAATTACGCGGCTAGCACCCATATAAAATTATATATTTTTAATATGATTTTACTTCAAATTTATTAAATAGTTATCTCATTGTCTTAAGATTTTTAAAGACTACACCTTATTATCCTCGTGTTTCTAATTTTTTTAGTTTTTAAAAGTCACAACAGTTGCTACCCCTTACTTCTTTCATATTATTCTTTATTTGCTTACCCGATCTACCACTATTTTCTATTCATTCTCCTTAGAATCTTTAAAAAATGGATCTAAAAACTTATAGGTTTTAGAGTCTATTGTCCTGTTTGGCATCTTTTTTTATAATTTCTAGAAGTCCCATCAAACACTTCCATTATACTTATCTATGACCGTCCACCGCATCGTCTCTTTATTGTCATTGCTATTTTAAAAATCGAACATAATTATCGTTTAGGTTTATATTTTTTACTTTCTATAAGTTCCGCCAAAACGTCAGCGACTTTATCACTGTACTCCTCTACGGCTCACCCGCTGCCGCCCTTCTTTATTGTCATTGAGATTTTAAAATCAAACAGGATTATCGTTGGGGTTTATTTTTTTACTTTTTAGAAACCCGAACCTTTAAAAATTGGAGTTTATTGTCTTGTTGGGTTTCATTTTTTTAATAATTTTTAGAAATCCCGTCAAACGCTGCCACTATACTCCTCTACGACCCGTCTGCTGCATACTCTTTATTGTCATTAGGATTGTAAAAGTCGAACATAACTATCGTTGGAATTCATTTTTTTTTACTTTCTAGAAGGCCCACCAATCATTGGCAACTTGGCCATTGTACTCCTATACGACCTGCTCGCTGCCTCTCATTTTTATTATAATCGAGATTTTAAAAATCAAATATGATTATCATTTGGTTTATTTTTTTACTTTCTAGAAGTCCCGCCAACCGCCTTGACCGATTGCTTCACGACCTGCCTGTTGTATTTCTTTTTAGTCGTCATTAGGATTCTATTTGCGGTAGTTTTTAGATGTTCTATCAACCGCCACCACTATGCTCCTCTATAGGCATGTTACTTAATTAATCTCGTCATGTGTTTCAAATGGTCTTTTCTTTTAGTAATCTTTATTTTTTTATCACCAATTTTAGTTATTTATAAATTGTATTCCTAGCTAATATCTTATTTTTCTTTTTCTAATTTCAGAATTTATTTTATTTTTCGTATTGTGTGCTTTTGATATTTTTATTTTTATTTTCAATTTCAGTTGTTTTAAAATTGTATTTCTACTTTAACTCTCTTTTTAATTTGCCTAATTTCAGATTATATATTATTTTTATTTTGAATTTTAGTTAATCTACTATTAGGTTCTTATATGTACTCTTATTTTAATATTGTTTATATTTAATTCCGAATTTTAATTAATTTTAAATTATATTCCTACTTGAACTCTTCTTTTCTTTTCTTTTTTCTAATTTTGATTTTTATTTTTTTATTCTGAATTTTAATTAATCTCGTATTGGGTTCTTGTATGGACTCTTCTTTTAATATTCCTTATTTTTAATTCTGAATTTCAGCTATTTTTAAATTGTATTCCTACTTAGACTTTTTTTTTTTTGCTAATTTTGGATTTTATTTTATTTTTCTTTCAAATTTTGATTAATCTCATATTGTCTTCCTATATGGAAACTTCTTTCAATATTACTTATTTTTAATTCCGAATTTCAGCTATTTTTAAATTGTATTTCTACTTAGACTCTCCTTTTCTTTTTTTCTTTTTCTCTAATTAATGTGGGAATTTCTAGCCCCCACAGCGAACGTGATGCCTCCTTTCAAAGCTGTTTTAATAATATATTAGATAAATATATATGTCTATATTCATTAACATCGATATGAATATGAAAAAATATTAGAATGACTTACATTGTGAAACGGAGGGAGTAGTATATAGCACGGGATATTGCGTTATCCTTTGATGCAGCGAACTCATTCCATTGTCATTCAGTTCAGCTAGTGCGAATCATCCATCCATTCATCCACCCTCACCGTCCTGGTGTTAATTTCAGCTCAGTACTCCCTCCGTCCCAAAATAAAGGCAAACCCTAGATTTCCGTGTCTAACTTTGACTGTCCGTCTTATATAATTTTTTTTATAATTCATATTTTCATTGTTGTTAGATGATAAAACATGATTAATATTTTATGCGTGACTTGTCTTTTTAGTTTTTTTCATAGTTTTTTTAAATAAGACGGACGGTCAAACATTGGACACGGAAACTAGGGTTTATCTTTTTTTTCTATTTTTGGGACGGAGTAGTTCACTCACATTTACCTTCCGTGCCGATCTGCACTGCTGCCTCTTTCATCAGTGATATGATACTATACGAAATCGATCGGACGAGACGCCGGGACAGCAGCAGCTGGGGGGAGTATATAGGAACCAAAAAAACGGCGCTGTACATTTTGGTCGGTTCGCCAATCAAGCCGCGCCGATGGCACGGCAAGTTGCAGGGCCGCCAAAAAACCTCACGTACAGATTCCTGCGTGCGATTGGGCCCTTCCGGAAAGAAGAAATAACGGGAAAAAAAAAGCGCTTGACCGATCGCGCGCGCGTGACCGCGCGGGCCACTCCGTACGTGCCGACCTCGGTGATTTGGGAATAAAGTGCGTGTGCGGTGGGCACTGCGTAGCCCACCACCTCTCGACTCTCATGCCGACCTCGCCAGGGGGCCCGGATCCTCTGCTCGAAACCATGTGGATTTCCCTCGTCCGCAGATGCGATCTGATCATCATCATCGATCTCCCGTGCGCACCGATGTGATGCGACCGTGCAACAGCACCCAACACATGGAAGTATATCCGGCTTATCCGCACATGCATGTGGATTTTCGCTTTTTTGGATATTTGGATATACATACCTTTGGTTCGTCCTTTTTTTCCTAAGTACTTGTCGATGCATAGTACACTTCACAGCTTATGCTTCTCAAGTTTTGCGCTTTTTATACAAACAAAGCGATTTGCAGGCATGGATAAGATATGTGTGGAGCATGTGCTTACAAAAAGGTGTTAGGATCAGTATCTCGCATTCACAGTTCGTTAGTTCCATCTCAACCAGCTCGATCACTGTTATCTAACACCCGGGGCTATTTAGTTTTTCTATTGAAGGCAAAAAAAAAAAAAAGAGAGAGAGAGTTTGCTGCAGTCCATTACATGTGCCGAGGCTTCATTTGAAATCGAGAATGACTTTATACCCCTCTAAAATCTTACTTTATACTCCCTCCGTTTCGAAATGTTTAACGCCGTTGACTTTTTAGCATACGTTTGACCATTCGTCTTATCAAAAAATTTAAGTAATTATTAATTCTTTTCCTATCATTTGATTCATTGTTAAATATATTTTTATGTAGGCTTATAATTTTACATATTTCATAAAAGTTTTTGGATAAGACGAACGGTCAAACATGTGCTAAAAAAGTCAACGGTGTCAAATATTTCGAAACGGAGGGAGTACACAATTTGACAGGTATATGTGAGGGTTCCCCCCCCCCCATTTTTAAGATTATTTTTGTAAGTCTTCAAGAAAACAAATTAAAGTTTTTGGGACAATTTCATCCCAAATGAAATAAGATAGAGGCGTATATGTAGAGAGATTATTTTATTACATAGAGTAGTTGATAGAAAACATGATGAAGCAGTTGGTAAATAAAAAAAAACTATACTTGGTGCTCACTTTTAAAAGGAGTATATAAAAACTCACTGATCGGTGCAGTATGATTTTTTACTGCATCCTGAACCTGACATTATATATTGCACCAACGGTTACAAACTGCGTGATACAAACACAATTAACTGGCAAGCTACATATGCCCCGCAATTAACCTAGAGGCTAGAGAGCCTGCCTACTTATTCGAACGCTACAATCGGATACAAAATTACATATATAAAAACCATAATTTAATTGACTGCAAAAGTATAAGAATCAGTAAATTCTTGCCGTGTAGAAACTGGTTTGAGCATGACTATCCCGTTCAGTTTAGGGCTTGAGCCCGCTATAGGTGCCGCCCCGCCGGGACGCGGAGGGACCCCTTCTCCCAGACGCTGTAGTCCTTGCCGTGCACCGTCTGATGGAAATCCGACGGCACCGCGTTGCCCACGTCGTACCTCGTCCCGATCTTCACCATGACCTTCTCGTCGACGACGGCGACGTATGCGTCGGCGTCGGCGACGACGATCCGGAGCTTGCTCCCGGCGTTGATGCCGTTCCTCTCCCTGATCGCCGCCAGCGCGGTTATCTCCTGCTTCAGGTTCCAGTCGAACATGTGGTCGTAGAACTGCCACAAGAAGCGTTCATCAGGACACGTGTACGGTGGAGGTTAATCAGGACATGGTATATAATACTATAATGCATGGTTTGCTTACGATGCAGGGGACTCCGGGGTGGGTGAGGATGTAGGCGTAGCCCTGCATGACCTTGTCGGAGGGGAACGGCCAAAGCTTCTGCGTCGAGCCGGTGTCGTGGTTGTCGACGAACGTGACGGCCTTCTCTGGCAGCCACCCGATCATGCCGGCGGCCTTGCCGTTGCCGTCGCGCAGCCGCCACAGCTCGCCCTGGACGCCCGCCTGCAGGAGGCCCTTGGTGGTGAAGTCGAACGTCATCGCCGGCCCGCCGACGGCGTTCACCCAGTTCACCAGCTCCTGCCGGCCCTGGTCCTGGTTGGCCGCCGGCTTGCCGTCGCCGTTGTAGCTCAGCGAGTTCCATATCTCGGCGACGACGAAGCCCGGCTTGCAGCTCTCGACGTACATCTTAGCGATGTCCGTGGAGTATCCCTTGGCGAAGTCGAGGCGCCAGCCGTCGAAGCCGACGTCGGACTTGAGCCAGTTGAGCCAGTCGGTGAGCTCCCGCTGGACGCGCGGGTTGAGGTGGTCGATGTCGGGCGCCGCGCCGAACCCCTCGCCGGTGTCGCGGTGGCCCGTGCCGTCGGAGTACTGCGTGTCGTCGCTGCAGATCATGCCGGGGCCCCAGTCGAGGCGGTCGTCGGGCGTCCCGCCCTCGAACACGCAGTACACGCCGCGGGCGTCCTTCTTCTCGGCGCACCGGTGGTTGATCACGACGTCGGCGACGCACTGGACGCCCTTCCCGTGGAACGCCGCGATCAGCGACTTGAGCTCCGCCGCCGTGCCGTACTTGGACGCGTCCAGGTCGTAGAGACGCCCCGGCATGTACCCCTGCGGCGCCACGGAGTGCGACGGCGGCGGCAGCCAGACGTGGGTGACCCCGGCCTTGGCGATGTCGTCGACTTGGCCTTTCAACATGTTGTACCAGCCACCCTGCTGCTTCCACGACTCCCAGTTGAAACCCTGCATGATGCATGTTATAAGTAGGTAAGTGATCAATCGATCACACATAAATATCTCAAAATTCTAATGTGTTTCTTCAGCAAAAGTCTTCACAGAAAGTGATGGGTAGTAGAGTACTACGTACCTGGAAGAGGACCTGTGCTTGACCCGAGTTACAGGTCAAGCTGCAGAGCACCACGAGGAGCAGCAAACACAAGCTGCTGGTGTTCTTCATATCTGTGTAAGCTGAAACCGTGTTCGATAGTGAGTTGCTGCTAACCACTACTGATCGATCTCTTGTAGATGATGGATGATCGATGTGTTCGTGGCGAATGACCTCGACGTCGGGGGGCATATATAGAACACCGGGGGCACGGTCACCGTGGCAGGGGAATGAGAATGATCAGGAGAGACGACCACAATAAATGGCGTGGATATGGATAAGGCAATAAAGCATGGCCACGTAGGCGCCGCGTCGGCCGCGTCGGGGCCCGGTCTCCAAGGCGACGGGATGCGGCGGCGTGATCGCGACGACTGCCTGAGGCGGGCGCCGGCTACCTCCTCCTCCATCCATCGCCGGCTTGGATAAGGCGAGCATTTCTCTGAACTTTCATCTTCAGAGTTCAGACAAAAAAGACAGTGCTACGTGTTCTAGCAGGCTGATCGTATATAATAGGGTTGCAGTTAGCCTCTTGACTGGCCGCTTGATCTCCCGTCATGTATATGCACATATGGCTCGTCCTCCTTCAATTCCTGACATGGCAATTCTATCCACATCTCGGTGAGACCCTAATCCGGACCTCGAAATGCGAGAATCAGATAATGCTGGAATCAATGAGTCCGAGTTGTTCATCGTCATCAGCCAATGGAGCAAGCCGGAAAGAGAGACTACTGTTCTACTAAGACTAGCCATCTCATCTATTGTAGTTGATGAATTTATGTCAGTATCTATGAATGTTACGAGTATCAGTATGTCATAAGTCATAACCAAGTTCATTACAAATTCCATATCAAAGCCGCCATGAGCAATCCAAATGGATAAGGTAGAAGTAGGTGTATGTTTGCTGATGAATACTCCGTACACAGGCACATATATGAATGTCATGACCAAGTTTATCACAAACTTCATCTCCGCCGGACGCCCGCAGCGAGCATTTAAGTCATCGAGATGCTAACTTAGGAGCTGCTGATTTCTAGCACGAACTAGAACGTTCCTGATTGCGCACACCTATATCTTCTTTTCAGAACGGATTACTGATTGATGATTGCCTATGGAGCAGTGGAGTAGCTAGCACAGGTGGTTGAAGATCGACTTGACGCTCTCAGCAAAGGGGACTCAGCAGAATAAACTTCCCTCCTACTTTCCCACAAGAGCAAACAAGGCACTAGCATAGGAATAAGTCCTCAACTCATGGGTCTGGTTAAAATGCACCCTCAACCGCAAAAACCGGGTATAACCAATCGTCTAACTCATAAAACCGTTGCAAATCAACTCCCCCAGCGGTTTTGGAGGCGGTTTCGTCGTACGTAGCACTTACGTGACGGGTTGACTTGGTCTTCATCCCATGTGGCATCGACATGACGCTTACGTGGCACAAAATAAAAACAAACCTAAATAAAAAAAATTGGGCCCACGTGTCAGTTACTCAGCTCCTCCCTCTTCCCTCTTTATACTCAGTGTCGATCGAGATGGAGAGAGCAGCGGGGCGGCGAGAGCTCAGCGGGAGCAGCAGGATGGCGGGAGCGGCGGGAACTCGGCCGAGCAGCGGGAGCAGCAGGACGGCGGGTTGACGGCGATGTCGACGGTGTTGGTGTCGGCAGCCGGGAGCTCGGTGGAGCAGTGAAGCAGCGGGAGCTCGACAGAGTGGCTCGGCATGAGCAGTAGGACGGCGGGAGCAGAGGTAAGGAAGCCTCGCCACCGCCTCCTCTCCTCCCTCCCCGCTGCCGCCTCCTATCCTCCCTCCCTGCCGCCACCCTCCTGGTGATCCTCGCTAGCCTCGAAATCCGCGTCGTCGTCGGGCAGGGGTCGAGGTGGAGGCGAAGAACGAGGTCGGCATTGGGGAAGGAGAGTGGAGGAGAGGAGGCGGCGGCGGCGACGGCGTGCCGAGCCGGCGAAGAGGAGAGGGTGCTGAGCCAGTGTGGGGAGTCGTCCCCTTTGCCTAGATCGACGTCGCCGCGCTTGCGCGTCGCTTGCAGTGGAGCACACATCCGCCGGCCTCGCTGACCTAGCCGTCGAACTCGGAAGCCTCCGCCATTGTCCTCGCCCTCCGTTGTGCTCTGTCTCTCTACCGCCACCATCCACTGCCATTTGCCGGTCGCTGCCATCCCCCATCCACCTGAGAAAGAGAAAAGGTAGCTAACACGTGGGCCTGAAGTTTATTTTTATTATTTTACTCACTGACATTTGGGTCCTATTTAAGGTTTGTTTTCATTTTAGTGCCACGTAAGCACCACATCGATGCCACATGGTATAAAGATCAAGTCAACACACCACATAAGTGCCACGAAACTGCCTCCGAAACCACCTGGGGAGTCAATTTGCTACGGTTTTGGAAGTTGGAGGATGAGTTATACCCAGTTTTCTCCCGGGAGAGATTGTCCCCAGCGCAGCACCCCAGGTAGCCATCGCCGCTAACGAGTCCAGGGTCGGGAAGTCCAACAGTCGCAACAGTGACGGCGGCCGCATCGCGATTGGCCAGTGCTTGCGCCTCTCTTAGTGGTGGTCGCGACGGCGACGTTCCGGTTCCGTCTGTGTTGGACTTGCGACCTCCGCGCCGCACCCGTCGGCCTCTGCGACCTTACTTCGCCGTTGCGCCTGTCCCCTCTGCGGTGCCAATCCCCTCTGGTCTCCGTGGCTGCCTGCGAGGAAGGAGAGGAGAAATAAATAATGTAACCGATATGTGGGCCTCACATGGGCCCCACCTAAATTTTCTTATTGTGAGTGCCATGTAGATGTCACGTGGGATGCAGACCTAGTCAAGATGCCATGTGGATGCAACATAAGCTAAAGCTAGGCTCAATAGTGCCTTGGGAGTATATTTGCATTGGTTTTTATGATAAGGACCTGATTTTACGATTGAGGGATGCGATTCGACTAGGGGCAAGAGATCAGGGACATAAAATATACTTATTCCTACTTCCTCCGTTTCACAATGTAAGACTTTCTAGCATTGCCCACATTCATTTAGATACTAATGAATCTAGACATATATATGTGTTTAGATTCATTAACATCTATATGTATATGTGGGCAATGTTAGAAAGTCTTACATTGTGAAATGGAGGGAGTAATTAACAATCTACTTACTTCATTCAAGCACGAGACAACAATCTGTTGCTGGTCAATTGATCGTTAGGCGTCCCTCAAGGCTTATCGATTCGCTACGAATGGAGCTTCCCGAAACTTGAGTGGGCGTCAAGGGCCTGACATCCGGGAAACAGGCTACAGAAGCCCAAAAGTTAGCAGGCCGAGACAATGACTGTTTCTCTATATTTGACAGGCCGATTTGTGTGGACCCATTTACTGGACAATTGGATAGTGGGAAAACTTGGTTTATTCGTTGGGCTGGAAGCCTCGAACGGTGTGGTGACTTGCATACGGCCCAAGATCATTATGAATGGTGGGTTATGTTGGGCCAGAACAGGGTGATGACTGATGACGGTGCAACGTGCGGACTATTTTAGTGGAATAAGTTTAGTTCATATCCCTCAATTTATCGCCGAGTCCAAATTGGTTCCTAAACCGAAATATCACCCATGCGGGCCCCACATGTTAATGCCTAGCACTTTCCTCTTCCTCCTCTCTTCTCCTTTCTCCTGTGCCCGTCCTCCCACTCCACTGGCCTCCGTCACCTCTCCACTTGTGGCTCCGCTCTCACCACCTTGTGCGCATTGGTCGGTCACCGGTGCAAACATTGTGTCATTCCTTCTCCGTGCCTTTACCGTTGAGCCGCCCCACGGTGCGCCCCTCTGAAACCAGCTCTCCATGCCTATGGCCCCGTTGACGTTGTCCATTGCTTGTAGGAGCCTGGACTCCTCGACCGAGAGCTGTATCAAGTTCTAGACAAATGAGGAAAAGAGAGGGGAGATGGAAGATGGGAGGGAAAGAGGAGAAGATAAGGGGGGAGGGAGGAGAAAGGAAATGATAGGAACTGACATACGCGGGCTGCGTGGGTCCCATGCTGAATCAGCTTGTCACGTCGGTTAAAACCGGTCACAATACTGTCTAGGTCCTCTAGTGAACCGTTTTGAAAATTGGGGGACCAATTATATACAGTATTTCGGTTTAGGGATAAATTTCAGACTCGCTGATAAATTAAGGGACCAGTGAACTTATTCCTTGGGTTATAAAGGAAAGGTGCCCCATTATAGTTAGGCTAAATCGTTGCTGTGAAGAACATTCGTCCCATTATCTTTGGACCGCTAAATGAGAGACAACGAGCGTGCGCTTTGGGCCGGAATATGCAGTGTCATTCTTTTACTTACGGCCTAATATTGCTGGGCCAAACGGGATCAAGTTGAGCTTTCAATCCACCACGGTATCCACACCGCTAAAAGCGGGAGTAAAAAACTGAAGTCAACTGACAAGATCTTGCAAGTCTTTCTTGAGGATCGAAACGAACAGTAGCTAGTTAATTCCATTCATCCTACATTTCTGCAGGATTAACAGGGTACATTCCGCTTACTTATTTCCGAAGAACGCTAGTTATAACGAAGCGTACATCGATCGAAGCTCGCTCGTACACATCTCGCAGCAAAATTGCATGATTCATAGCTAGAGCCACGTACGTATATATATTATCTAGGGTTGCAAAGCACCATGCAACTCGATCGCTATAGCTAAAGCTAATAGTGCTTTCTACCGGCAGGAACCCTGAGGCCTTCCTTCTCCCAGACGCAGTAGTCGTTGCCGTGCGCCACGACATGGAAGTCGGAGGGGATGATCCCGCCGGCGTCGTACCTCGGCCCGAGCTTGGTGATCACCTTGCCGTCGATCATGGCGACGTAGATGTCCCCCTCGGCCTTGAGGATGTCCAGCGTGCTCTCCGCATGGATCCCGTTCCTTGACCGGATTTCAGCCAGCGTCGCGATCTCGTGCTGCAGGTTCCAGTCGAACACATGGTCGTAGAACTGCATACACACGTACACATGCACCAGCAATGAGCTCACCAATATGAACGAATTTGATGAGAAAGATTTCGGTGGTGATACTTACGATGCATGGGATGCCAGGGTGAGTGAGGATGTAGGCGTAGCCCTGCATGACCTTGTCGGAAGGGAACGGCCAGAGCGACTGGGTCGAGCCGGTGTCGTGGTTGTCGACGAAGGTTACGGCCTGATCGGGCATCCACCCCATGAGGCCGGGCGCCTTGCCGTTGCCGTCGTGGAGCCTCCACAGCTCGCCCTGCACGGCGGCCTGGAGGATGCCCTTGGTGGTGAAGTCGAACGCCGTCGCCGGCTTGCCGACGCCCTCCACCCAGTTCACCAGCTCCTGCCTGTCCGCGTCCTGGTTGGTCGACGGCTTGCCGTCGCCGTTGTAGATGAGCGAGCTCCAGATCTCGCCGACGACGAACGTCGGGTTGGTGTTGTCGACGTAGATCCTCGCCAGCGGCGCGGAGTAGCCCTTGGCGAAGTCGAGGCGCCAGCCGTCGAAGCCGAGGTCGGTCCTGAGCCAGTTGAGCCAGTCGGTGAGCTCCCGCTGGACACGCGGGTTGAGGTGGTCGATGTCGGGCGCGGCGCCGAACCCGGCGCCGGTGTCGCGGTGGCCGCGGCCGTTGGAGTACTGCGTGTCGTCGCTGCAGATCATGTCGGGGCCCCAGTCGAGGCGGCCGTCGGGCGTGCCGCCCTCGAACACGCAGTACACGCCGCGGCTGTCCTTGTAGTCGGCGCAGCGGTGGTTGATGACGATGTCGGCGAGGCACTCGACGTTCTTGTCGTGGAATGCCTCGATCAGCGACTTGAGCTCCGCCTCCGTGCCGTACTTGGACGCGTCCAGGTCGTAG